AACAATTTTGCTCTTGGTTGCTCTGATGGGCATGCCCAGCCCTCCTTCTGACACTTGTCTACCGTATCAAAGTCAGACTTAGACTTCAAATTTGACCGATTCTTCTCTGAAGCTTTTCCCAGCTGTGTAGTGAAAATTGATAAGTCCATTCTCTCTACTGCCATAGAGTATTGTTTATAATTTTTTTTAGAATTTATCATATTATGCCTTGTGTTAGCGTGATTTATCAGTCTTTTTTTTTGTCTCCAGCTATTTTGCAAGCTCACAAAGGCAAAGACTGTATAATTCATTTTTATATCCCTTCACCATCTAGCAGAGCTCTTTGCATGTAATAAACAGTCAGTTCTTGCTGAGTGAATTTATCATTCGTTGTTAGGTCTTGGTGCCATGATTTAAATGGAATCACAAACTATAAGGTTGATATTAATCATACCCAGATATTTAGGACCTAAATGTAGTTCTCATTAATTATCCATAAGTAAAAGTGAAAGAAACATGTGAATGGACAAGGTATAACTTTGTTAATACTGTGAAAGATGCCTCAAGTCACAATTTCTAAAACAGGTAATACCAGTTTTGTAGTAAAAATACTAAAAGGTAAGTGTCATAAAACATGCAGCTTAAAGTGTGAATTCAATAAAGAACTGTGCTAATTAAAAATTCTATATTTTTCAGAATACTTTATTCAACAATGAAGTAAATAAATACAAGTATTTCCAGTTTATCTTCTAACTATGTTAATATGTTGAGAATACATATTGACTCTCAAGTTTAAAAAACTTTGAAGGCACAAATACACTGATGACTGTATTGAGTGTCATAAGTGAAGATAATAAAAACACATTTTCCTCATTTAAAACCCAATTTGTGATTTAACAGTATACATGCTTACATTTAGCAAGTTCATAAGGATCAGGATAAATGTACAATTATGAAATTAGACAATCAACGAAATTTGTTTTGAAAAATGCCTTTCATTATTCATGGGAGTGTGGAAAATATTGGAAATGAGTCAATGCTCTTTAGAAAATATGAGGATAATGGCTATGTCTTGAAATTTATATATGCAGCACTGAGCAGAATTCCATGCATAAAATAAATTTGATAAATGCTTAATGAATGAATAATTAAAGGATTGGATTTTATAAAACATAAAATTAAATGGTAATGCTTCAAAATACTACTATTAATTATACAAATATAAACTACTGAGGTACAAAAATATGAATCAACTGCTATTGAATTTGTGTCTTTGATAGGGAAAACACACACAGCGGTCCACTTTCCTATTTATTCGAGCAAAACTGTCTTTTTCTTAGGCATTGTGTTAACATTCAATATTTTCATAGAATCCAAAAGCCTCAAAGCTCATTGTACCAGACATTTTGAAAATTCTGACTAGATGTTATTGACTGGATTTAGAACTTAGAAACTGGATGTGATTGAGTAGATTTAGAACTTAAAGATTTCCAGTTTTATTTTCATTACAAAGTCAATTTTTATATATTTTGTGTGGCCATGCTTAAATTTAACAGGTAAAGAGAGGCAAAGTGGGTGCTCTGGGCCAGTAAAATGTAAGCCACAAATAGACCCAGAAAATTGTGCGTGACATAATAGTAGGCAAGTGAAAGTCCTGGGAGTGACTGTCACACGCTATGGACGTGACTATTACTTGAGCTATATGAGAAGTGTATTGCCCACTGAACTGAGAGTTAATTTCTCTATATTACTGCCATAAGAGGATATGTATATAAAATACCACAGGCATAAAATGTAAAATGCATGCATTATGTAGTATTATGGTCATCCTTGACTCTTCCTCCTTCTTGTATGCCATAGCTTCCCACTAATATTCTTCAACTTATACCCAGAGTCTGGATCACCTTCACTGCCCCCACTGTTGTCTGAAACACCATCATCATTCACTTAATTACTGGCAAAAGCCACCCATCAAGTTTCTGTACTTCTGTCCTTGTCTGCCTTTCTTTTCAGTAAGACAGAAGGCTCTTCATTTTATTTTTATTTTTAATTGAAGTAAAACATACATAAGGTACTCTACTGGGAATTAAGGTAAAACAAATGTAGAAAGTGTATAACGTACTCCAGTCTTAAGTATATAGCTGATTGATTTTTTAATATGTATATACCTGTGTAGTCACACTCAGGTCCAAACAAAGGTCACTTCCAGTGTACCTGCTCCCCCCATATGACTTTCGATTACCAGGCCCTTCCAATGTTCATCACTGTTCTATTTTCAGTGTTTGCTCTTGGACATCTTGAAATTCATGGATATTGGGGATAAAAGAGGATATACTCTTTTGTTGGATTCTTTTGCTCATCGTTATATGAGATCTTCTCTGAAAGTCAGTTGCCTCATCTTTAAAGAAGAAGAGGAAGGTAGACTGACACCAGCAGTTAACATTTGAAATCAACTGAAGTTTAGTCCCAACCCAAAGAGTTCTTGATGTTTATTGTCTGGAGTCAGGCACAGAGAAGTAGCATAATTTTTAAAATCCCAATGAAAATTGACCCTACAGACTCTAAATCAAATAATCTCTCTCTCCTTCTTTCTCCCTCTCTCTCCCTCTCTTCTCTCCCTCCCTCTCCCTCCCTTGTCCCTCCTTCTTCCTCTCTCTCTCTCTCCCTCCCCCTCTCTCCTCTCCATCCCTCTTTTCCCTTTCTCCCTCCTTCTCTGTCTCCTTCTTCCTCTCTCTCTCTCTCCCTCTTTCTCTCTCTCTCTCTCTCCCTCTTCCTTTCTCTCCCTCTCTCCCACTCCATATACTTATGGAAAGGAGTAGAGGGGTGGAGGGGGGAGAGAGAGAGAGAGAAGGAGGGTAGAAAAGGGGGAAAGGGGGAGAGGGAGAGAATAAGGGAGAGAAGAGAGAGTATTTTTTTCTCTGCTGTATTAGGGCCATGTTAATTTCCCTTTCACATGTTGGGGGCATGCTGAGAGAGTTCTTTGTCTTCAATACCCACTCCAGGCACCAGTTTATTTTTTAAATGGTTTAAATGGTAGCCAAAAAAACTATCTAGCAATCCTATTATAGATGCTATTTATTAACCTTTTGTGGGTCTTATAGTGAAGTAATCTGTTCATGTATAATAAATGTGACTAAAATTTAGGCAATAATAGCCAGTGAACATTTTGCTGTAAATAACATATGTTTGGACCAGGAATAATCTTATTTTCTGTAAACAATACATAATGGATAGGAAATTGACAACATCAGACTATTATGACCAACATTTAAAAATACTCATTTCAATTCTCTTAGTATTGGATCACAATAATTGTTTGGTGTTTCTTTTGCTACTTTCAATGGTCCTAAAAAAGAAAAGTTTAAAAGAACATTTTAGATGAATACAGTAGAACATCCTGTTTTGTCCATTTCTTTTCTTTCCTCCTGATTTCCTTCCTTATACAGTTTCATTTTCTAGTAGCGAAATGAAATGTAAAGAAAGGAAAGGATTTAAAAGATATTTTTAACTCCATGGCCTTATTGGATATTCAGATGCTCATGGGCAAAGCAAGATCTCTTTGGTCATATTGTATTCAGTGACTTCAAATCCATTGTTTTTCAGTAGAATAATTTCGGTAAAGCTTACTTTTTTAATGCTTATTTTTAAATAAATTAATAAAAATCATTTTTCTTAAAGCAAGTACATATATCTCGTTTTTAAGCAAAGAACATCTCATTGAATATGAACTTAGTTTTGCATAAAATTACATTAAAAATGATTGTAAATAGTTGTTCATTTTATAAGGACAGATTCTTTATCTTTTTTTTTTTCTTTTTATTTTCTTTAAGAGACATTTTGACCTTTGCTGTAAAGCTAAGCTAGAGAGGACATTGGCAGAACTTTGTGTGTCCTTATACATAGCTTTGGATGAGAATTTAAGAAGACAGAAAACAATACCTTGCCAAGTATTAACTTTAAATCTTCTATTTACTTTAGAATTTCAAGATTTATGGAATACCAGAACAATCCAGGGAGATGACTCATAAAGAACTAGCACTTTCTAGTTTCCTACATCCTTTTTAAAAAGTCTTAGCTGTTTAACTTTGCTGTCTAGCACCATGATCAATATGGAGATCAACCTGTGAATTAACATAAATCAATCATTTAAGGCTTTTTTTTTAAAGGTTTATTTATTTATTCATGAGAGACACACACACACAGAGAGAGAGAGAGAGAGAGAGGCAGAGACACAGGCAGAGGGAGAAGCAGGCTCCGTGCAGGGAGCCCGATGCGGGACTTGATCTCAGGTCTCCAGGATCACACCCTGGGTTGAAGGCTGCACTAAACCGCTGAGCCACCCGGGCTGCCCTTTTCATTTTGTTTTTACCTATCATTCAAAGTGGTTACAAACTGGTGTTCATATCAAAACTAACTGTTTAAAAGCCATGGCATCACAATTTTAAATTACAAATACCTATATTTAATCAGAGAAATATACAACTATAGACTCTAAATCAAATGATCTAGAAATGATCATTCTATCAAATGATAGAAATACAAATACAGTTTTTAAAATAAAGACTAGGTTATGGTTTCAGATGAAAATATGCTTTATTTATTTCATTCTATGTCATCCCTTCTGACATAATGACCTAACGTCACTGGCTGAATCCCATTTACCCACACCCTACAACTTGCATTAAGCAACAGTCTCCTCCTGTATGGATGCTTTCATTGAGTCTTAGTTGTGAAGCACAAAAACCAGTTTTATGTTAAGTAGGTGGGTTGCTAATCTGTGAGAATGCCATTCTTGATCAGGCCTTTATGAATTGTTTGTGAATACCAAACTGGACAATGCAAGCTTTATATTCGTTCTACAATTAGCCAAAATAATTCTAGTTAAACTCTGGTAAAGATCTCTAGAATGAAATGAATGTAAAGTATTCATTCTTTATCTTACCCTCTGGTTTCATTTTAGCTCATTTGTTTATTTAAAATAACCCGCTAAGTTGCTTTTTCACTGCTTTTTCATGTTACAGATTGAAAATGTTGATGTCTGCCTTAGTTTTCTAGCAGCCAGAGGAGTAAATGTTCAAGGTCTATCTGCTGAAGGTAAGAAAAGGCACAGTTGTCACCAATATCACCCAACTCTTAAAAAAAAAGAAATGTTTTTGTATTGCAAGAAATGTAAAGTGGGAGTACCTAGATCCTTGATATGTGAAGGAAATCAGTACAGTTTCCAAAATAATAGAGACATAAATGTAATGGTTATTAATGTATGCTTTAATTATTTATATGTTCCATATTTTGCCAAAAGTGTTATTTTCTTGACTGAGTGTGTGAGAGAGGGGTAAGTTCACAAAACATTTTTATGTTATTACCAGTGTATATAGTATTTTTAGTCTTAAGGAGAGGGATGGATGGATATATAGATAATGCTAGATCATAGATGAACCTAAATTCAGGTAAAAATAATATAATTAATTTGCAAATATCACTTTATCAATAATATCAAATTAGCAGTCTTATTAAAATATTTGGTAAATTTAAATAAATCATCATGAGTTCTTAAATAATTAGTACTAACAGTATTTAATGACTGTCATATGTAAAAGCTTTAAGTCATTAAAGGTTTAAAAGATCATCACTAAAATCAAAATATAGAAAAGTGGAAAAAAGCTGAACTTGTTCTGTCATTTTTTTTTTCTGAATCTTTTTCTTTCACATATATTTTTAAGGAAAACTTTTCAAGTACTCTAACAAAATCTAGTTGCTAAGGTTATGAAATAACAAGACCTTTGAGATCTGCACTAATAATCACCATTTTATTAGAATATTAATTTATGCATTTAAAAATTCTGCTAGATACTGGTATATACTTTGATGATTTAGATTGGTTAATGTTTCTACTTTTGTCATTTGCTCTGAATAGCTTTTTCCCACACACACACTAGAAATATTAGATCTAAAGTTTTAAAATTTTGTTGTCATTGGAAAAAGGAATTATTTGGTTTCTGAAATACAATGAATATTTAATAGAATTATTGAGTTTTCCCAAGTTTTCTTCTATTTTCTTTTTTTCTTGTTTAAATTTCCTTTGTCTTTTACATTTATGTGATATGTTGTGTAATACTAAATTACACATGTAATGGCCAAAAAGCTAAGGTTCAAACCTAACTGCTGGTTCTTACCTTAGAATAAAAGGTGATAAAACTCCCCAGGAAAATATTTTACTTTTCTCAGTGGTGGAAAGCAGGTTAGAAATGTTACCATTTGTTCATCTTATGTCTCTGCCTTCTCATATGACATCCTTTAGTAACAGAAGAAACACATTGATTTTCACTTATCTTCTAAAAATATATGAATGCTCAAAATGATTTGCTAAATAAATAAAATATGCATATAATAAAACAAGGAATTTGAAAACCTTTAAGATCATCTAGTTTTAATGAGAACATAAATACTCTTACGGAAGCCTCCTATTGATCAGACTAACTCTTCTATATTATGCAACTGTGAGAAGGTTTGGGGGGACCGTCATGTTCTCATTTCTTTTTTTTTCTTAAGATTTTATTTGTTTATTTGAGAGAGAGTGAGTGAGAGAGAGAGCATGAGTAGGGGGAGGAGCAGAGAAAGACAGGGACAAGCAGACTCCTCACTGAGCAAGGAGGCTACATGGGCTGGATCAGGACCTGGGCTGAAGGCAGGTGCTTAACTGACTGAGCCACCCAGGTGCTCCTCTCATTCTTATTTTAAATGAATAATTCCACTGCATACTTTCTGTGACATTTATAAACCATCAGAGAGCAAGAAATCCAAATAGTTTGCTAATGTTCCTAAACTTTAAAAGGGAGACAAAATTTTGACCTACAGGTGGATGTATTTTTTTTTAAGATTTTATTTATTCATGAAAGACACACACAGAGAGAGAGAGAGAGAGAGAGAGAGAGAGAGGCAGAGACACAGGCAGAGAGAGAAGCAGGTTCCATGCAGGAAGCCTGATGTGGGACTCGATCCCAGGTCTCCAGGATCACTTCCTGGGCCGAAGGCAGGTGCTAAACGGCTGAGCCACCCAGGGATCCCCAGGTGGATGTATTTTATTGCCAAAAGCACGTTTTATTTAGAATATGATTATAGGTTTCATATAGATTTATTTCCAGCTTTACTTCATCTCTTCTCCTAATTTTTAAATTAGAACTACAAGAGAAAGAAAGCTAGGTTCAGATTGTAACTTACTTTGGGTGTTTAACTTTTGTTCAGTATTAGAACAATTTAGGAGCTCCGTGTATTAAACCTAGGATTTACATTTATGTCTATTCAATTACATTATCTAAAGTCATGAATAAGCTGATCTTTATTATTAATTAATATATAATGTTAAAAAAGAAGGAAAGAAAGAAAAAGAAAGAAAGATCGGAGGAGGAAATCATTATTTATTTATATGACTATGTATATAATCTCCCAAAAGTAGACATTGTAAGTATTAATTTTAAAGCTCCCATTTTTCTCTTTAAATAATCACTTTAATAAAGCAATTACTAGGTGATTTAGGAAAACTATTATAAATCCCGTTGCCACTAGAAGGTGCAGCCACACCATCCTTATTTTTTTTTATTTTTTTTAAAATTTTTATTTATTTATGATAGAGAGAGAGAGAGAGAGAGAGGCAGAGACATAGGCAGAGGGAGAAGCAGGCTCCATGCACCAGGAGCCCGACGTGGGATTCGATCCTGGGTCTCCAGGATCGCACCCTAGGCCAAAGGCAGACGCCAAACTGCTGCGCCACCCAGGGATCCCCCCATCCTTATTTTTAATACAGGACAACCAACATTAAGTGGCGTTTTTTCTCCAGTTCCTAGCCATCACTAAGTTGATACCAGTTGTGTATTTGTGAGGGAAGCAGAATGCTGCATCAAATGATTCGCACAAGACACAGAGCCCATCTGTTTCCGAGAAGAAGCAAACTCTAGGAAAACTGTATTTTAAGATCAGCAAAGAGCATGGCTCCTACAAGTTTTATTCACTGGGCCTCTCATTCCATCCTCTGTCCCTGAAGCTCCACTTGGAAACGTTATCATGTTTCAGAAATTCAGGTTTGCTCCAATCTGTGACTGAGACACTCGAGTTGCTTCTGTCTTCACAGATTTCCTCTAAGAGCATGGCAACTTGAATTGCATTTGTAAAAAAAAATAAAATAAAATAAAAAGGAAAACCGCATTCATTTCATCTTTTCCTGTTTTTATATTTTCCCTTTGATACAGAAATAAGAAATGGAAACTTAAAAGCCATTCTAGGGCTGTTTTTCAGTTTGTCTCGCTACAAGCAGCAACAGCACCATCAGCAGCAGTATTACCAGTCCTTGGCCGAACTTCAGCAGCGAGTCAGCCAGGCCTCCTCTCAGGCAGAAGAGAGTCAGGCCAAAGCCCAACAAGATATGCAGTCCAGGTAAGGAAGGGGAAGCAGGTCGTGTGTTTAGACTTAACCTGTCTAGTTACAAATTGTTTTTTTTTTTTAACAAGCTATTGTTTGTGAGTTTGCAAAAACATATTTATGTCATTGCATCAGTGTTCCGATGTTACTTGACCAGTGTTGTAGAAGTTAAAAACCACTTTTCTCGTGGTTGGATGAGCGACATTTATTAAGTTTAGGTGAAATGTCTCTGTGTGTTTTCCAAAGTTGAGTGTGGTTTGTATCAAAGTGTGTGAAGTGTCTTTTTCTGTAAGTGATGAGGCACAGTTTTTTTTTTTATTTTATTTTTTTTAATGAAAGTGAAATACTTTATTCATGACTATTGCAACAGGGGAGAGAGAATCCAGCAGAGACAGCCTGGCTGCTGCCAAGAAGCAGAGTGGGGTCCGTGGATGGGAAGTCACTAGGGCAGATGCTGAAGAGGGGGGATCCTTGCTAACACAGGGTGAGGCCCGTGGAGCAGCCTGACTGCCACTGGGTCAAAGGGCACTCTGTGTCTGCATTTGGAGGTGAGGGGCTCCATCAGGGTCAGGGCAGAGCGCACGGACCAGGCCAGAAATTATTACTTATAAATTATTATTATTTACAATGTGCTAGAGTCCTCCTCTCCAAGTGGGTAGTTAGTTCTCTTTTATTAAGGCTTATGATTCGATTCATTGAGTCTGTCAAAAATTTTGGGTCTGTCAAACATAGGGGTTTGAGCGTTTGGGGACATACTGTTTTCAATATGTGATTGTATGTGTGTATTTATAAACACACGTGTGTGTTCATTTGTTGGTGCATTGTAGGCACAGCCTGGGGTGGGGTGCTGACACGTCATGGCCACTTTCTTCCCTCGTCCATTAGCACTGTTTTCCAATTTGGAATGGTTATCAGTCAGGACTCGACCAGAGAAGCAGAAGCAGTAAGGGATGAAGAGACTGATTGTGAAGAATTGGTTTACACGATGGTGGGGGCTAGGGAGGCAAGTCTGAAATCCTCAGGGCAGCCCCGCAGGAAGGACAGGCTGAAACTCTCTCAGCATGAGCCCAAACTTGTATACAAGGTACAATTTCTTCTCTGAAGGAAGCCTCCATCCTGCCTTTGAGATCTTTCAAGTGGGAAATCACACCGACCCAGTGTATCTAAGAGAATCTCCCTTAAAGTCAACTGCTCTAAACTTTAACTGCAGCCATGAAACACTTTCAACAGCAGCACCTAGGTCAGTGTCTGATTGAACAAGCGGCCCTGAATAGGCCTAGCTAAGTTGACACATCAAAAAATGACCACAGCATGAAACTAAGTAGACAAGCTTCATGCATACTGCTCATTTGTTACTCACCAACGACTAGGATATCGGGTCACTGGGTCTATTGCGTAAATAGCTGATTGTTTGCCCTTCGGAGGAAGAATGTCCAATATGAAAAGACTCATCGTCTTTAAGAGTATACACACATATCACACAGATGTAAATATTTAACTTTTCCATCTTACAAGGCAAATCTGAGACCTAGTAACACTCAGTTTACCCTGAGTTTGTTTTTGGTATTTAGTATTGACTCAAAAAGTTAGAGTAAAATTCCAAATTACATTCACGTACCACCCCCCAACTTATTGTCAAATATTCAACAGTTCAGAAATCCTCTTCTCTTTCACCTGCCAACCAGCCCTTTCTTCCCGATAAGCAGTACTTCTTTTCTCTATATGGCCAAGTAAACTCTACTTGCTTTGGAAGATTTGACTCACGAATTATTAAGCCAATAAAGAAAAATTGTAATTTTAGCCAAAAATATAGAGTATACAACATAGGGCATGGAGTGGTAAAAGATATTTCTCATCACTCGACAATGCAGATATACTTCTATTCTTTAAACTCATCCTTGCTTTTTGTGACATAAGTGAAATTGCATAAAAATCAAAGTTAAAATATTCTCTATAGGGTAAGTTCTTTGGATTTCCTTAAGAATAGAGAAGAGGGGATAAGGAAATATCTTTTTTATTATGTATTATTATTTTGAAGGGGATGGTTGGTAGAAAGAGATCTAGATTTTGAAAACTGCCAAAAATAATATTTCCTAGAGTTTGGTTTAAGTTATTTGAATGGATAAGAAGCAAGAATAGTAGCTGAGAAAACATAGGAAGTGAAGTGATATTGTCCAAAACATGTTCACCCTGGAAGTGATATGGAGTATCATTTGTCTTTTCTTTACCTTGTTCTATTTCTGTATCTACCATGTGGAATTTCTTACTCAGAATTTCTCAGTGGTTATGACCCTTCTGGGGAGATTGTTTTTCTCATTCTTGCTGGATATGCCTGGCTGTTCTGGAACTATATTTTAATTAAAAATTAAAGCTCTATATAGTAGGCATGGTAATTTTATACCATTTTGGGGAGAGCTATCTAATTTTTTTCATTAAAATTATGTTTTGAAAAGTATTCTATTCATCCATGTTCTTAGGACACACTTCTTAAGAATTTTTTCTGCTAATAAATTTAATTGGTTTTAATTACTTTTTAGACTCATAATTTATAAATGTGGAGTACTTGCTGTACTAAGTATAGTACTTATGATGCTGATATAGAGGAGCTACATGTCTTAATTTTAATAGAATTTATTATATATTTTGGAGAATATTATATTTCAAACATTAATACTTATTTCCACTTATATAGATTTTGCACAGGGAAATAGCCTATGAATTAGAATTTCTGTGGCCTTACATACAACAAGCAACGTATTTTCCAAAAGCCCATAGTGAGAATATACATGAGAAATGGTGTTTATGTCCATATGGTAAAATGAACATAATTAACACAGAAAAAAAATAACCCAGTGACACATTTATCTTCATTTGCTTGAGATGTGAGTCATAAATCATGATTTATTAAGCTTCTCTGTTAATTCTAAAGCTCTTCCCAAGTAAATAGCTTAAATGATTGGTTGCTATATTATTCTGGATACTTACCAGAAAATATTCTTATATTTTTCTCTGTCAACTCATAAAAAATTTTAAAGGCACATGGTTTCAGTTCAGTGAGAGTTTTGTTTTATTCTTTTCATTTAAAATAAATTGGTGTAACTGTATATATTCCCACAATATTTATTTTATGCATTAAGAATTTCTAACTTGGTTTTGGTATTTTGCAAATAACTCCAAATGTTTTCAATCATTTGGAACATCTTTCATTTAAACAGACACTTTGACCCAAAGGTTAACAAGCATGTAAGAGAGAAAATAAAACATGGACCAAAAGGAATAGAGTATGGGTAACAAACTCTCCTTTTCTGGCATCTCAGCTCTTTCTCCATTCTTCCGTCTGTCCGCTTGTGGGTATGTAGGTGCACATACATAAGATTATACCTGCGTGTGTGTGTCCTGTTCAAGTGACAACTAGAGGTGTAGTTAAAGTTTGCCTGTAGAATCAAACTGCCTACACTTGGATCCCGCTTTCACCACTTTCTAATTGTGGGGTCTCAGGAAACTTGCCTGACCTGTCACTGCTGCAGTGTTCTCATTTGTTAAAAGAGAATAAAAAATGGCATTGTTCTCATGATGTTGTTTTTAGGTTCACTGAGTCACTACAGTATAAAACACTCTGAACATACCAAGCACACACTACTCCCTGTTCAAAGCCTTGCAACGGTCTCAAATAGTCCAGGCTTGCTCCCACCTTAGGAGATATGCTACTGCTTTGCCTGGAATACTCTATCTCCTAGCTGCTTGGCCTAAATCTCTCACCTGCTTCAAGTCAACGGCTCACGTGTTACCTTCTCACTGATGCTTACCTTGACAACTCCCCTTTTAACACTACCAGCTGCCCATGTCCGCTCCCCATTGTACTTTGCCATATGTTTTATTTTTTTCTTAGCTTTAATCAATCTTTAATTTCAATTTACTTATATTCATTATTCATTATTGCCATTTCCCTTTAAAAGGTAAGCACTATTAGCACAGCAGTATTTTTTGTATTTTAATCACTGGTATAATCCAAGGGATAAGCACAGAGCCTGACACACAGGAGTTTTCAGCAACTGTTTCTGAAATGAGATAATTTAAGAACAAATCTATGTTACAGCTGCTTCCAATTTTAAGTAGGAAGATTCACAATTACAATTGTAAGTAATTCATAACAAAAATTGTATGTATTTATAAAATTAGTAGCATAAAATTAAATATGTTCTTGATTTGGGGGTAGTCGTGATATTGAACTAGCTAGTTTCCAAATGGTCTAGAGTAGAGATTCTTATTATTATTACTGGAATTATCCACTTGTAGTATCTGTATTAAAATAAAGCTGGAACTTAGATTCTAAATTTCCTAAATCCTTCACAGGAATTACTTGGTTATATTTGGAGTGATAAAGACTTGGTTAATTGAATCTTCAGTTCTCAAAAATCTGAATACATTTAAGATAAAAATTAAATTTTCTCTATCCATGATCTTTGGAAGGACTTCACAGGAGTAAAGAGTAGCGACCTTGCTGGGCTACATAATGTAAAGCATTGTATTTGCATTTATTTAATATAAATAAAAACTAGCCCCTCACTTTTTTCTGGTTTTACTTTTCATTTTGAAAATAGTAGATGGGGCAACTGAGTGGCTCAGTTGGTTCAGCATCTGACTCTTCAGTTCTGTTCAGGTCATGATTGTGCAGTTGAGCCCCTTGTTGGGCTCCTGCTTAAGATTCTCTCTTTCCCTCTCCTTCTGCCCCTCACTCCCCTGCCATCAGCTGGTGTATGTGCATGGGCACCCATGCGCACACATTCTCTAAAAGAAATAAAGAAAGAAATGCACCTTAAAAAAAGAAAATATTAGATTAAAGACCTTCTCTTCAGCCAACTGGGAAAATATGAAAAATATTTTAGTAAAAAGTGATAAACTTTTGTAAGAGTTGATATCATAGTGATTTTCTCTAAGTATTAACTAAGAGATGGGGAAGTATTTTTTTATTCTAGAAAACAAAGTAGAAATGAGTACTGTATTTTTTTGAACTC